GACTGGCACCCAGGCTAACACATCAATATATTAACAACAAAGATGATAAATACAGAATTCATGCTCTTTTCAGAACTAGATTTTGTAGATCTTGTTGTAGATTTTGTGTTATATGAGGTTAAGAGAAAATATGTCTCTGCAAGTCATCTAGGAGTCTTCAGTGAAATCATAGATAGATAAAAATTCTAATAAAAACTTATCAAATAATCAATTTATGTAGATATTAGTACTTGTAAATATCAATTTTATGCAGAATGTTTTTTGATACAAGTAGGTAAGTAATGACAACGGAAAAGATTTACGCCCCAGAACTCAAAACTGAAAGAGTTTTATCCACTATACCTTTTATATGGAAACTACGGATGTTTAAATATATTTGTCTATTTGTTAACAAAGGCTGTAGGAAAGTAAAGTTTCTCTTTATTTAGAAAATATGGATGTTTTGCTCATTCATTTTCCTGTTGGAACAATGTAGATTGGTGCCGATCCGCTTTCGGCCCCCCCTCAGTGTTCATTGGTTATTATAAAAAAAATTCTGGTTACGAAATCTAAAAGTTTGACCCTTTAAATCATTTGTAATTTGTTCCGGATTGTTTAAATGGGATTTAAACATGCATTTTCTCATGTCTTTCATGGCCTCTACCAGATTTTTAAGGCTCAATCCATGTGCTTCTTCTGTATGTTTTTGGGTGACGCTGAATTTCTGTCACACACAAACATACAGAGGTGTCAAAAGTATTAATGTTTATACTCAAGTAGAAGTACAAATCCTACTATTTAAAAACACTTTTGTAGAAGTTACAGTATTAACTTCAGCTTTTTACCCAAGTTAAACTGTAAAGTACTGTACCATTTTTAAACCACTTAAAGTATAAAAGTAAACGTAATGCAGGAAAACAAATGTTAAGAACAGATGCGTTATTGCATTGGCTTATTAAAGGAACATTTTTCTATAATTCTGGATGATAATTTCCTCATAATAAATTTCCTTATTGATATTACTAATGGTAGCAGTGCCAAATTTAACTTTGTATCATATGAAGAACTATTTATTTTGGTATGTGGAGAACAAGTTGTTGCAGTACCGAGTCCAACCACAAAGAAATACATTTTTAGGATAAAGCAAATAATTTTGATGATTTTAATTTTTTTTTAAATACCAGCAGGCCATAACGAAAAATAGCTTAAATAAAACAAAACAAACTACTCTATTTTTAAAATGTAAGGATTACAAAGTAGAGATAATAGCAAAAAAAAAATTAAAAATGAAAAGAGTACCATATAAGTAAAAAGTTGTCGAAAAAATAATTACTCCAGTAAAGTACATATAGCCAAGTTTCTACTTAAGTAAGGTAACAAAGTATTTGTGCTTTGTTACTTGAAATATCTGCAAACATAAGACAGATAGCTGCTTTTAAATCTCATCTGATAAGACACACAAGTTAAAAATAAGAATAGAATATGCTAAGATGATATAAAGTGTGACTCCATAACTCCAAATTTATATTAACGTCCTCATAGAGTTTTTACAACAAAGTTTAGTTTGATAAACATGCAGTAAATCTAAAGGTTCTTTTATACTTCAACTGTTGTTTGATTCCTAACATCTTGCCCTCTATACACAGTTCAGCAATCTAGGGACAACTTCCACAGACCAACCAGGTCCTTTGATCCTGTTGTGGTTCCACGCCATAGTTCCCCAGTTTATCTGAGCAAAGACCAGCTCAAACAGCTGCAGTTCAAACCCACCATCCACTCTATCCAGCTGTCAGTGGACCAAGAGGCTAAATTCAACTGTTCAATTGACATCCCCGATACAAGACTGGACCCCTACATTGTGTGGAAGAAGAACGGGGAGGACCTGTCCCATGACCATCACCTGGGGATCAATGAACTCAAGAGCACCGCAGATGGAGTCACGTCTGTCCTCTCCACTGTCATGTAGGTTCTCAGAACAAAAAAACAAAAAAAAAGGAATTTTTAACACAAAAAGTAGAGGGGATAATATATCACTATTTGTTACATTACAGCATTAAAAAGGTGCAGAGAGGTGATGCTGGAGAATATTACTGCACGCTGAGTGTCAACAATGTGATTAAAAGGTCTCAGTCAGTCTTTTTGGAGGTAGAAGGTAGGTTTAATAAGGTTATAACAGCAGATGCTTCTTTATTGACAGCTTTTGATCAATATTATGCACTTTTAAAAATGTTCCTCCTCAGGTCTGCCATCATTTACACATCAACCAGAGAACTTGAATGTGACAAGCGGCACACCTTTCACCCTGACCTGCAGCGCAGTGGGGCCTCCAGAACCAGTTTATATTCGTTGGCTCCAAGATGGACTACATGTCACTGAGAAAATGGTGTCTCCCAACAACTGGACTGTGGAAGGTAAATCCATCAAGTTTTCTGATTGTCTGCCTGTTCTTGTTATAAGGTGAGAGGCTCTTGCTGCTCTTCTTATATTTTGATCTCATAATAGATATTAATGTGACAGCAGAGAATCTTGGTGACTCTGTGAATAAGTTTGGGGGAACGTGACAGATGGAGTTTATGATTTATCACACTTACATTTTGTTCCTCCTCTTCCCATACTTTTCTTTTTTAAAGTAAAAATTCTTATTTTACATTTTTTGCATGCCTTATACCCACAGTGTTTTTAGAGATTTTTATAATTTTATTTACATATTCCATATTATATGTTTCATGTTGCACGATTGTACCATAAAAAATTCCTAGTTTGTGAACTCCTTCACTAACAATGGCAATAAACCTGATTCTGATTCTGATTCTGATCCACCCATAGGGATTTATTGAAAACATGTATTGATAAACCTCATATGTTAGTTTTCAATCAGAAAAATCCAGATGTTTCCAGCAGCTAAACTGATTCTTTCAATAATGATAAAGTGGTTTTGTTTTTATTTCATGTTAAAAACATAATCATCAACATATATGGGTATTTATCCTTTCCGGATAAAAGCGTTTGGTCATGCTGTCCCTACCCTGTCAGTAGTTTCTGTTCTGCCTCGTCTCTGCTGCTTCAGCAGCTGCACCTTGCTCATTGCATTGAGATTAGTCAGCGTTTTGTTTTTCTGAGCGGTTAACAGCGGTCACTCCTGCCTGGTTGATGATTTCTGTATCTGCTCAGCCGGTGCAACTTTAGAGAAAGAGCTGGATGTTAGAAGCACACACCTCTAAGAAGCTGCCCAAAACAGTTTTACAGATGTGTGAGCAGATGGCAACCCTATGGAACCAACTGGGAACTTGTGTTATAACACATAGTCGTGAAATAAAAATGTCCTATAGAGTTGTTGATGTTTTGGGGACCAAGCAGGCACCATGTTTATGATCAAACCTCAGATGCATCATGCTGTCTTTATTTTTAGCATGGCTTCAAGCTTTCTGTCATTAAATCTAACTGCAAAGAGTTATATTATAGCTGCACTGTGTATTTATTAGACGTGCCGGGGTTTAGATAGGAAGCTACCCTTTAAACTTCTAATAAGACATCAAAGGTATATGCCAGTTACTGCTTTAAATGAGACATGTTTTTTCCGCTTTTAGGTATCACAGTTTTTTTTATGTCCTGATTAACTTGTTTAACTGCTTTAATGAAAATAGAGTAAATTAAAGCATCAAAGTTCTTCCTTTAAATGGGTGTCTGATATAATGTTTTTTGCTGCTGATGTGAAAGCAAGGTCCTTAACCTGACTGTTCTCCTAAGTTGTGATGATGATAGTGTACGTTTTAGTGTACGTTAGGCAAATACTGAGTAACCTCACAGATATTAATTTCCTTTAAACTGTCTGATATTTTGTGACTTTACAACAACAACATTCAGTATATTTCACTTAGGAATAAAACAATTAATCAGATTAATCGTGATTAATCAATTATTGAAATAATAATCGTCAACTAATTTAGGAATCGATTAATCATTAACTGCTGTGTAGAGACTAAAACGTGCTTTTAGCTGACAGAGCAAACAACTTAGAGCAATAATTCTAACAAAATTGTAAAAAAAAAATATTTAAACATTTTACATTTAAGATATAAATCGTTTTTTGTCTGTCGATATGCTCCATCCAGAACTCCTTAAGTGGAAAAGCTTTAGTTTCACCTGGTTTAATTTTGCAAAAGCCTTCTTTAAGGAACCTTTTTCTAGCCGATTATTAATCGATTAATTGAAAAAAAATTATCGACAGATTAATCCATTTGCAAAACAATTGTTAGTTGCAGCCCTAATTTTACTAGGCTTTAATGCAATAGACAAATACATGGTGGTGCATACCTGTTAAGATGGTGTTCAAATATTTTTACAGAAAAAAATAAAAAAGCTTAACATGCATTTATTTTCTGCTTTTTTATATGTTTGAACTCAGGGCCTTGACTGAACCAACTGCATGTTTTTTGGGGTATTTCCCACTTTTGTGTTTGCTTTGTCTTAATCTTCAGTATGATTGCCTAGTTTTCATCCCATCAGCTGTGTTCTGCTTCTCTGTCTCTGCTGAAGAAAATCAATCATCAATCAATCTCTGTTTGTAAAGCATTTTCATACAATTAATGTAGTTCAAAGTGCTTTCTACAATCAAAAACATTACTCCATTGCCATCCAACACAGAATTTCTAGAATTACACCCATACCTGCCCCCATTACAAATCACACACACCAAGCACACTAACAGGCCAGCATGATGACTTTAAAAGACTGAAGAAAATATGTTAAAAAGGCTGAGTGCAAACCAAACACATAAAGAAACACTCTCTGCACTGGGGCAGACATGCAGTCCCACAGCTTGCTCCTGCCACCACCATGTCTTACCATAGGCATAGAGCTTTTAATGCTGATGTGGAATATTGATTTGGTTTGCCAATGTTTTCTAACATGTTAGATTTAGGGGAAATACTTTTAACAAGGCAGTATATGTTATTACTTATTACTAACTTGGAAATTAGCCGTTTATGGTTTTACAGACATTCCTTTTTTTAAGAGACTTTGATAAACTATTGCTTAAATGACATCACTTTTTTTTCTTTGCTTAAACAAACTAGGTTTAAACAGACGGCTCATTAGCAGCACTACAAACTTAAACAGATCCTGCAAACAGAAGTGCTTAAACAGATCACATATGGAGGAGGCAGTCCAATCATGCAAATCCTAAAGCAAAAAGTTGAAAGCTTAAAGTACAGAGCAGTAGGTCAAAATGACCAGCACTGAGGAACACAGCCATAGACAAAGCACTGATAGCACATTTTTTATCAGTGCTGTTAAAGTTAAGGGAAATGTATAACAAATAGCACAGAAAAACAACAACTGGGACAATGTTTCATAATGTTTCAAAAAAAAACTGAATTAATTTGATATTGAAAAAAGTCAGCCTCCACATTGAGCTTATTGCTGACTTTCTTTTGTTATGATTTCTTTGACACAGTCAAGATCAGAGGGGGGGTGTGTCTGAAGAATAACAGAGCAAATGGAGGGAGTGCTTAGATTGTGACTTCTAAGCTAATTTAGTCCTGTTTCAGCATAGTGCTGTTTTGGCTGATCTGGTTGCCATAGACTGCTGGTTTCTGTTGCTCAAAAATGTTTTGTGTTGCCTTAAAAAGCTGCAGTTATCAGGGTTACTCAGATGTTGTGCCCTAGACTTTTTAACACAAAGTAGTGTCCTTGGATGTTACAACAATACAGGAACACAGACCTTTTTTGGAAATAATGTTGTCTTAGTTCCCCAACATACGCTCCTTTATGGACACTTTCTCTCAGAGTTAACATTATCAGAAGCATGAGATTGAATCTAAACACTCCCTCAGTCTAAGCAGCCCTACCATTACCAGAAGCTGAGGGGTTAAAGGTATAAAGCTGTGCTCTGGTCCTGCGTGTGTAAGGGGCCTGGCTGTTCGGGGGTTGGATCGGTGGACAAAGGCTCATTCACAGGACGGCCCACAGCCCAGTAAGGAGAGCCAGAACACAGAGCCTGGCAGACTGCAGGCAGGGCCCTGTGCAGGACCAAATATTGGCATACCAGAGCAGTGCAAACGTGCTTTACTGCAAACTAACCCCTTTGCCCTCATTGAGGGGGTCAAGGGCCCCCGGTCACAAAAGATAAAGGTCTGTTCATATAATTAAACTGCTGTTATTACAGTGGTTAACCATGGGTTGCGCTGTTCATAAAACAAGAACATTGCATAACCTTTCTAACATTTAATTATTGAGACCTTATATCTGTTTTTCTGCCTACCTAAACAGCTGAAAAGCCAGTTTTTCTCAAGTTTCACAAACTTGTGGCAAGTTTCTGAAAACAATTACAGCTTCCTTGATTCCAGAGTGTGGCTGAGCCACCTGACCAGACACTGATGATCTACTGACTGAGTCAGCTTGTCCCAGGTTCACCAAATGTTTACTGAAAATCATTTAAGCTTACTTCACCTTTGTTTTCCAAATTAACTCTTTTTTTTCCTGGCTTAAAGTAAAGTCCAATATGTTTCTAAAGTAAAACGGCTACTGAAAACATTCAAACAGATTCATCCTGTTCAATGCAACACACTGTAAACCTCATTGTTAAGATTAATCATCCCTAATCTTATAAATAAGATGTTCTCTTCAGAAGGTTTAAAAAGAAAAATATAATTCATTGGTGTTAAATTATAAAATAACATCTCAAGGTAAGTTTATCTCTTCAGCATCACTTTGCAGATGCATGCTTATCTTTTCCTCTAGGAGAGTTTAACATTTATATCCTGAAATATATGAACAACCTAACTCTCAACTTGAATGTAATTCAAATTGAGTAAGCATGTTATCTGAGAGTTAAAATGCTCTTAAACCTCCAAAACAAGAAGTTTGATCAACTTCATTTAGCCATTAGTTTCATTTTATGAAAAACAAATACACTTCAGATTAACTTTTTAATGACTTCCTTCTGGATTTGAGACTGTATTTGCTTTATGCATAGAAGATGGAAAGAGTCGACATCCCAGGCTGGCAGCTGGAGAAAACCCAAACCTGAAAATTAGAGGGTGCTGAATGCACTTAAGCTATTCTTGCTCATACTGAACCTCATCCCAGTTTCCATGTGGAACCCCCCCCCACAGATTTCTGTATGTATTATTACTTTTGTTTTGATTTACTTACTAGAGTAGGGTGAAAGCAGAAATGACAACACTTGACCCTGATTCATTTCCTTTTTCCTGTAAATATGGGAATGCATTTTTTTTTATGTTCCTATTATACCAAAGTGAGTCAATACTTTGGAGAATCACCTTTCCCTTTAATTACAGTTCCTAGTGTTTTTGTGTATTACACCATCAGCTAAACAGATGTGTATTATTATATTTTCAGCTTCACAATAGCACCTTGTTTTTTTTTGCTTTAACACAGTGAGGATTGATCTGTGGCTTTAGTTAGTTTCTGTTGTTTTCGGGATGCTCTGGGATCAGCTTTGCAAAAGAGTTTCCGAGGCTCAGATGCAGGAAAATTGAGCACAAAGGGGACATTATTTCACAGATGTCCTGGTCCTACTCTACTCTGGCAGTTGAATGAGAAACATTGGGCATCCAGGAAAAAGGGCCCCGTTTTAGGATTGTTACCACTGTGCATCAGACTGGAAAGCTCTTGCTCTGAACTTTCAGCTTCCAAAAGAATTTGACTTGTTGCCCAAAATCTAGAGAACAGAGACAATGTTTCCTGCTTATTTTTCTCCTAAGTTTTGCACAGCATTGCTGGGAAATGGTATCTAATGTGTGTAACTTTACCCATTTCATTGCTCAATTTTCAGGTGTTTACAAGCAAACTCGGTTCGGCTGCGAAGCTCACAATGCGAGGGGTGTCACTACGTCCTTGGCAGCTGAGATTAACGTCAAAGGTACAAACTCGAACTTTTTTGGATGGATTTTTTTAAAATCATTTTGTATGTAGGCTAAGCAAATATGTTAATGTTTTTGTTTAGTTCTTCCCAGTCCTGTGACTCATCTTAAGGTGATGGAGAAACGGCCAAATAAGCTTTTACTGAGCTGGATCCCTGGACACGATGGCTTCTCTCCCCTCACCAACTGTAACATCAGGGTAAGTCCCACATGTGAGGAAAAATGCTGCAGTAGCTTCTCGTCTTCAGATCTCTCACCTGATCTCTGCTCCATCCAAGGTTAGGGAGGTGAGTCAGAGGAAAGGGGAGGTGACTACAACCAGGTTCGTCAACGTCACAGTACCGCCTTTCCATTGTGAAGTCCCCGGGCTCAGAGCTATGACGAGGTACAACATGAGTGTTTCCTGTAGCAATGAGTTGGGGGCCTCTCCAGTCTCCATGTGGATCCAGGACAACACCACAGAAGGAGGTGTGTTACAGTTTAGGCAACCTTATATTCTGGGGTTTTGTTTGGAGTTGGATCAGATCAATTCTAAAGCTGGTTTAAAATGAGATCAATTAAAATTTAATCCATCTTGTGTCAAAGAAAACCCATAATAATTCCTGTCTGTTTATTGTATCTGCTTCATTACCCTCATAGTTATTTATTTGCTTCAATATCTCATAATTCTTTGTTGGGTTTTAGTGATTGCAACACTGTAAGTAGCACAGCCAGCTTCCCATTTCAAGTAAGCTCAGTGGAAATTTCTCCTTTTCATTAGGATGTTATAACTAGAATTTTCAGAACTTACACAACTAATTATTTTACGACTACTGCAAATGCCCCTACGGAGAAGCGGATTGTCCAGTAAATCTGGTGTTTTCTTGATGGGTCACTCAGGAAACAGGAGTGGCCCACTGACTAAACAGAAAGCTCTCAATGGGTGGAGCTGCTTTCAATTTCCTTCCTAAAGTCACCACAGAGAGTATTGTAGTTATAAGATTTGATATGGCATTCCTGGAAGTCCCCAAACACCAAATGAATTCAAACTACTTCAGTTATTTTGATGCGGATCATGTTTGGTTTTGTGTCTTAGGCTCCCTTACTGTTTAATTTATTTCTTTGTTATGATGCTTACTGTTATCTTAATCAGTTTGTTCCCATTTCTTGTCATGTTCTCAGTGCCATCGAGTTACCCCAGCAATATCACTGTGCAGCTGAATGGCACAAGCCTGGTGATTAAGTGGAAACCTCCACCAGAGGACAAAATAAACGGCATCCTGCAGGGTTATGATGTCATTGTAAAACACAGAGCAGGTCAAGATGAGATCAAGGTGAGCTTCTCTGCAACAGAGTGAACACAGTTTTAATCTGTTCTATCTCTGTTAGGAAATATAATGCACCCAAGCCTGGATCCCTTAAACCTTAGAGAGGAAGATTATAAAGACGTTATCGAAAAATATCAGATCTAGTTAATAGTCCTTGAAACCACAATGTTTGTATAATGTGTCCAAATTCCAGTGTCAGTCTATGGAACAGTTGTTATTTTTCCTCATGTGTCCTGTGCAGGCTGTTTTTTCTGATGCAGATGTGCTCTCACAGCTGCAAATGCAAAGCAGAGGGCTGTAAACTTGTGCCCGTCTACAGCACTCAGGAAGCACCGTGTAATAAATACAGAGTTTGCTGTAGAATGAGATTTCTTGTCTACCATAAAAAGCAGAGAAAATGCTCTGAGGCTAGATTCTTTTCTCAGATTACCTCATGTACCGTAATTATCCTTTAGGCCAAGAATGAGTGAAAACAAGTTAAGAGGGGAAAAAAATGCATTTCACTAGCTTTGCTGTTAACAATTGGTATTTTATCTGGCTTGTTCAGAAAAAGGAGATTATGTTAAGTCCTTTTTTTTACAGTTCTTTTAACAAGTAAAAAGTAAATATTTGCCACATTAAAGGTATGCATTCCTACTGCTGAGTTGGATTCCTCTTGCAAAATGTCAGAAAAATTCTGCAGATTTTGCTCCATATTGACACTTTAGCATCATGCCGTTTCCATAGACTAGTCAACTGCTTATCTCCACTTCACTGCATCCCAAAATTACTGTATAAGTTGGAGATCTGCTGAATGTGGAGGCCATTGGAGAACTGTAGACCTTTTATGACATTATCCTGCTGATAGTAGAAATCGTAAGATGAGTACATTATGTTCATAGTGATGGAAATATGCAATATAATACTTATGTAGGCTGCAATGAAATGTACATTTTCTTGAAAACATCTGCCATAGCATTACAGCATCGACCAGTCTCACCAACCCAGTGATATTCATGTCCGAAGTCTCTAGTCTTTGACTGAATGATTTCAAAACCTTATTTATTTTTATTTATTTATTTATTTATTTATTTATTTTTTTGCTTCAGCCTTTTTTGATGGAGTTCCTGGTGTGTTTTGGGAACAGTTAATTTTAATGACTAGTGACAGGATTTAGTCTTTCAGGAGTTTTTAGGGGAGAATGGAATTTATTGTTTCCTTAATTATTAAAAGTAATCCAGATCCTGAAACAGCAAAGCAGCCTCAGACCATTGGACTCCCACCGCCTACCTGTTCTTTCTCCAACTCTGCTTATTTCATTCTGGATGTAACGTGACGCACATATTCAAAAAGTTCCGGTTTTGTCTTTTACCTCAGAACTCATGGATGCAAATATTTCCCAGTCTTTAGCTTATACTGTTAGGTTATCTGTGTTTGATTTTCTTTATATCTGGGCATGACATGTTGCTTTTTGGGGCATTTTAGCGTGCTTAATGTTGCCAGATAGGTTCTATTTAGGTGACGTCTTAAAGCTACTGTACATGTCAGGTTGTAACCAGACTTGGGTATTGGTAGAGAAAAAACATCCAAAAATGTTTTATTCTTTGCTAAATCCTGATTTAACAAAGGGTGATGGTTACTTTTTCACATGGGATCAGGTTGGCTTGGATAATCTGTACCCTAATTAATAAAATCCCAATTTCCTGTTCTGCATTTGCTCAGGTTCTACTTGATTGATATTAAGAAAAGTAAGATGGTCTTTATTCACGCATTTAAGTGTGAACTGTTTTAACATCTCAGTAAATTGCATTACCATGACTTAAAGTTCAAGTATGTGAAGGAATGTGGCAGCTTCCAAAAGTTTGCGCTGACTTGTGAAACGAGGGTCAACTTCCCTCTTGTCTGTCAGCAGTGTGACTTTTTTTTCTCCCCCCAACTTCCCTTAATAATTACAAAAGATTTATTTATTTATTTATTTATTGTTCTAAGCCCTTTTGAGGTTGTTTTAAATCTTACAGTATTGTTCATTATTATATTTATGACAACAAAGGAATCTGAATCTGGATGTTTTTCTTAAGAATATTTTCTAGAAACCATCATTCAGTAACGTCACCTACTTGTGTATTAGTGTCATAGTTAAAGTATGTTAGCACTCTAGTACAATCCTATTTCCTGTCTTTCCCTTATGTGCTGAAATCAAAGGAACTAGACAGTGTGAAAACTGGACATCAGTATTATTTCCATTAGGAAATGAGTCATCTGAGTGAAAAAAAAGTATGAATACACAAGGTTTTGTACCTTACGAATAAATATCCTGTGAGTAAGGCTGGGCTCAGAGTAAAAACTAAAAAAGTTCATAGCAAAATACATTTTTTTCTTCCTTTCTTTTTCATAAAAAGCAGATTATAAATTACAGAAATTACTTTTAGGAACCTGCTTGTATTTCTTGTCTCAGTTCGCCTGAATTCAAAGTGCATCTTAGTGTAAACTCTGATGCACTCATGAAAATCCAGTTACCAGGCTTTGCCATTGTAAATAGTGACAATATGACACACATAATGTTTTTAGCTATCAGTGTTGAACAATGAGATATTTTACCTATTAAGGAGTATACATCTAACAACAAAGAGATGGGCTGACATCACCAAAAATCCAGATTTTCCAAAACATAGTTTCTCCTTAACAAAAAGTTTGATTAATTGGTTAAATCTATTTATCGTCCAGCTGTCCCTTTAAGAGTCTTAAAAGAGTAAGTCTTTTTCTGGAACTTTGCACAATGGCAAGTCGTTTAAACCTCGGAGTTATCTGTTGGGATGTTAACTGGTGAGGTGTTGATGGATCTGCAGTGTTTGTAGGAAACAATAAGGTGAACTGGATATATAATTAATAAAGTGCATAAAAGATCTTAACCATTGCTCACTTTACCTTTTCCTCACTGTCTGACCCTAAACCAAACAACACCTTTCCTGTTTTTCAGTCAGTTACCAAAATAATTCCTGTATCTACTAAGGGTAATAAGTAAAAGAAGTTTGATTTCCTCCAAGAGACACTTTGCCTTGTAAACTATAGGACTTAGTCCAAATGGTTTTGTGTATCCTTTCACCAACATCTTAAAAGAGTTTACTTAATTTTTTTTTTTTTGTGCTTATTTCTTCCAAGAGGACAAGACAGAGTCAGACTTGAAGGAAGCCTTTCTACACAAACCGTTTCATGTGTTTTTTCATGAGCTCAGGGCTCTTGATGGCCACACCGAAGCCTTGACATTTTTGGCTTTAAGCAATTTTGTAACCAGTGCAACTATTGTCCATGAGAAAACCCACATTATGTGGAAAAATGCTGCAATATTCTCACATAATGTTCCCCTCATATCTATTTTGCGAAGGACTCTACGCTCTTCTGCAGCAAAACATCCAGACAACATAATTTTGCTCCCCGTTCTTCCAAATAGATATTTGTTCTCAGTCTTACAAACCTCCCCTTTTTTCCCCCAAATGTAACAATGATTTTAACTCAAACTATTTCATTTTCAGCTTCATCTGACCTCAAGAGATAAATCAAAGATATTCAAAGAAAATCAAAAGCGAAAGCATTCAGGATTCTTTTTTGTTTGTTTGTTTGTTTTAAACAGAATTGTGATCTTAATTCTTTTTTTTTTACTTTGCACTAACCACACACTCAGCATTTAGATGTTGCTTGTAGATGTGAATTTTAATGTCTTCAAGACCTTGAAAACCTGGTTTTTGGCAAAGTCCATTGTGGCTGAACATTACATGGGAAACATTACGTTACATGGGAAAGTGCTTACCTTGACTTGCATGAATGGATCTGCGCACTGTTACCCTTGTGTGTGGTGGAAAACCCACTTTAAACGTATTACCACTACGTAATGTAATGTGACTGAAATTATATTGCAAACTGATCTCAGTAACCATGGCCAGACACACCTGGATTAATCCGTTCATCCAATAATGTAAGACAGGAAACAAAAGAGCTTCCTTAAGTTTAGGAGGTAGTGCTGTTGTGCATAGAGCCCATTGCTGAACCTTACTATGACTTGTTAAAGCCCTTATATAAGTACAGGCCATTTACTATATGAAAAAAAAAACTACATAATTAAACAAACAAGTAAATTATTTGGATGTTTTACATTTTTTTCTTCATATCCTGCATTGGTTTTTATGGAAATGAAAAAAAAAACAGACCATTTAAATAAATAAAAGAGAGGTGAAAAGCTAGCAGACACATAAACATGTATTGAGTTTGTCAGGAGGGGTGATGGTTAGAAAGTCTAACAGTTGCTGGGAGGAAGGATCTGCTTTAACGCTCCTTTCTGTACCTAGGTAGCAGCAGTCTGTCACTGAATGAGTTCTCCAGTCATGCAACAGCCTCATGCATGGGGTTAGCTTATATAAATGATTGTGTTATCCTGATGGATCTAAGTTTATGTCAATTAAATATTTCTCAGTGCGATACAAGGATATTACAAAATGTATCTCAGCTGGGTGTGCAGGTGGTGCAGTGGTTAGCACACATGACCCATGTATGGAGGCCTTAGTCCTCGATGCGGGCGAACTGGGTTTGAATCCGGCCTGTGGTCGTTTCCTGCATGTCTCTCCCTCTCTCTCATACCTCCTTCCCTATCAGCCTACTGTCAAAAAAACAAGTCACTAGTGCCGTGAGAACTCAAAAAAAAAAAAAATAAATAAATATGTTAGACGCTTCCTCGGTCAGCACTTTGGGAAAGCCAACCACCTCCAGATGGAACCATAAGTGTTGTGAAATTTGGAGCTGTGTCTGTCACATGTTCCTTCACATTTAGCACGAGCTTCATCAGAGACTTTATGTCCTTCCTTTTTTTTTTTTTTTACAGTAACCCTCCATGTGGAGTTCTTAGGACTTTCCAAACAGGTTTCATACTGGAAGTGCTTCACAACACCTCCACATGCAGTTAGTTTCTATGGTGTACAATGTTCTTACTTTTATTTAGCCCAAAGTAAAACTTTACTTATTCCTATTGTTCTTTTTTCTTTTTAATTTTTTCTAATAAAAAGGGTAATTTATAGTTTTATTGCAAATAATATGATTGGTACAGTTCTTCATTGAAGTTCTTGTGTTTTATTTCAGGTGCACACTGAGAACACAGTGGCTGTTGTCGATATAAAAACATTCAACGTGACCTACAGTGTGGAGGTGGCTGCATGTACGCAGGCAGGGAGCGGCATGGTCAGCCAGCCATTGTTGCTCTATGTGCCGCCAAAAGACAGTAAGCCGCCTGTTTGTTTTATCTGTCTAACTTATCACCCAAGGCATCTTGGCTGCAAATCTGGTGAACAGAAATGGTTTGCTGATGTGTTTATAAAGACCAGTCAAGTGTTTGAATGAAATATTCTAAAACATGACAATAGTTAACAAAACACTGAATTAATATAAAGGTTAAAAAGCTTTGCATTGTGTTACACGTATCAAACTTATAGACTTTTCAGAAGTCCTGATAATTATTTCACTTTTCTTAATTTTTCATTTGACCTCAAACGTTGGTGCACTTTGGGGGGATTTTTCTTGTCAGGTCAATACAAAGTAAGAGACACAAAAAGGAAGGACCTTCTGTGTGTATTTTGATCTGTGTACAGATGAAGCTGTTCTGTAAAGGATATCATCAAAAGCCAGGAACACATCAGACGGGTCAAGAAGAAAGATGTTAGGAAGTGTAAAATAGCAACAGTTCAAGCTATGAATATACCTTGTTTCGTTCCATTATCTGACAATAAGAGAGTATGGAACAACTGCAACCACACCAAGACGTGACAGTTCACCTCAGCTTAAACAGTAGTAAGAGCAGGATTGTAACACTGGAAGAGTCATACACTCCCTAAATCAGACCTTTATGGAATAGTGTTAAGAAAAGTTTCCTGCTAAAAGAGAAGCCCAAGAAGTTCCAAACAGTGGCCTGCATAAAAAAAACAACCACATTTATATTCTGAGAAAAACAGGACTTCCTCATTTACTAATTAAAAGTCAATAGACACTATGATCAGCTAAATAATAGTCTTCAAACAAAAATGGTCTAAATTGTGTTTATTTCACAAATAGCACTGCTATATCTTCACATTTGGTTTTTCCCCACTGTCAAACTACAAAAAAAAAAACAGTCTTTTAACCAAACCTTTAAATATCTTACATCGTGTAACTTTGCCACCAGAGTTTTAAGACTGGGCCTGTGCATTATTGGCTGAAAGATTTATCACAATATTAGCCTTTTATATCTACTAATATAGAGATTTACAGATGAGTGTTTTGTTTATCTATCAGAAATAAGGGGCGCTAAAAAAATTCCTTTACTTTAACCCTATTTAAACATAACCTTTAACTTCCATAAAATAAAAAAGGTCAGCCCTACAACCAACATTGCTTAGTTTGGCTGAGAGGTGGAAAGGTCCAATCCTTTCCTCTGCCTACATCCCCCAGAATGCCGTGTGGTTCTGAATCAGAGTAGAGTAGAATTATTGACAATATTATTAGACAGACTTTCTATTGATATTAACCAGGTGTCTATCAAAATATACACTGATGTTGATTTATTGCCCATCCCTACTGGAAACATTGCCATTTAACTTCTATTGGAAGGTCCAGTGGAAATGGGATCTGATTGGTTGCTTTAGAATAATACACCTTTAGAGTTGCTTTAGAGTAATTTTGAAATATGCATATTTTCATTGTTGTAATTTTCTTTTATTTTTAATTTTTGTTTGAATGGAGAAGTAGGAAATACATTTGTATCTATTATTCTTCCATGCCTGAAATAGTAGATTGTTTTTTTTGGGTTAAATCAGAGCTTTGACCATGCTTTTCAATGTTGCAGCCTAATCTTATCTCTGTTTCAGATGTGATTCCTACATCCATCCCAGACACCGGGGTCCCATACGCTGTCTCAGTCATACTAGGCCTGTTTTGTGCCATCGCTCTGCTGCTGCTTGTCATCTGGGGGGTCCTGTGTGTACGGCACAAGACATCTGTATCCTGTTTTGGGTATGTTGACCAATACACACTGATTAACTGCAGCATCCTAATTGTTATTTATTTAGTTCTAGAAGACAGACAGGCAGTTAGATGTTTAATTTTACCTAGAAAACAAACAATTCTTTTATAGTAGTACAATTATACAGATATATACCCATCTTTATGAGCTGGATTTAAATCATGTTAGTCATCACTGTATACACATAATAATGGGGCAGCTGTTGGTTTTCCTTTTTGTAGAGGCCATGACTCAGGTTTGAGATTCAGGAAATGGAGAGGAATTTGTCATAGGCTGGTGCAAAGATAAAAAAATAAAAAATATTTGAAAGTCAAGTTAGGAATAAACATGCAAGATTTCTTCCTCACTACTGGATGACCATTAGATGTGAATAATCCTTCTCCAGCCTTTTAGTTTTCCCTTTAACTCCTCTGACAGCAGTGGAAATGTTTCTTCTCTTTTGTCGCCCTCTGCAGGTGGAAGCTGGGCAGTGCAGAACAGTCAGAGCCTGTGATACAATACACTAACCAGAGATCATACAGCCGCTCGGCTGTAGCCATCACACGTATGTTCTTAAACTTATTAAAATCAATGGAATTTGTTCATCTCCTTTAGTCAGATATTTGAAGTAATATTTATTCACCTTTCTCTTCTGTCCAGTTGGGAACCTTGGTGTAAGTGAAGAACTCCAGGCCAAACTGCAGGACGTTATGATCGCAAGAAATTTTCTTTCAATTGGAAAAATTCTTGGAGAAGGTGAGGGAACCATTTTGGTCATCTACAGTGCTAACTGAAAGTATTCACACCAACGGTTCCACGTTTTATTTCTTTATTTTTGTATTTAATTTTATTTCTGTCTTTGGTTTGGTTTTCTTTGGCATAAGTTTACCAGAAAATACCTTTACAGAGGCAAAATAAGGATTTTCCCTTTAATTTTTCTTTGCATGTATAATAAACTATAACATTCAAGGTAATTAAGCTTTCACAGACTTTTCTGTGATGCGCAACATCGAGCTCAGTCGATTCCTGTTTTCAATGAACTTCAGATCTGCAGAAAAAGGAGTGAATCGACAAACATAAACAAAAATGTGACTGCTGGCAAAGATGCTGATTCAAAATATTAAGTCAGGAATGGGAAATTTGAATACTTATGAAACAGGATAAGACTGGCGACCTGTCCAGGGTGTACCATGCCTCTCGCCCATTGACAGCCTGAGATAGGCACCAGCACCCCTTGTGACCCAAGCAGGGATAAGCATGTCAGAAAATGGATGGATGGATGGATTCTTGGGGGTGTAAATACTTTCTGGTGGCCTCATAAACGAAGGTGAATGAACATATTTGAAATCAGATTGCTTGAATCGGTTCTGTTGTTTGCAGGTGAATTTGGCTCAGTTGTTGAGGGACGATTAAAACACACAGACGGTACCTCAGAAAAAGTTGCAGTGAAGACAATGAAATGTAAGCCTAACTATCATATGAAGATTTTAAACGTGTGTTAAGCTTAAAACAAAGAACAAATATAAAAGTGTATTTTTTTTCTATCAGTGGAAAGCTTCTCTCAAAGGGAAATTGAAGAGTTTTTAAATGAGGCGGCCTGCATGAAAGATTTCCACCATCCTAATGTCATCAATCTGCTGGGTATGACTAACCTTATGACCTCTTCGAATCTCTCTTCTGGCCTCCCTGTCATCTGTTCTTATCTGACATTTTTGTCTTAATTTGACCCCCTAAGGTGTGTGCTTAGAAAATGGATGCGGACATTTTCCCAAACCTATGGTCATCCTCCCGTTTATGAAACACGGAGATCTTCATAGCTTCCTGCTGCGCTCACGCCACGGAGAGAGCCCCATGGTAAAATTACAGCCATTATGTAACGTGCACATTTTATTTCACATTTTATTTTGACATCAACTCCATTCCCTCCTCTTTGGACAGTTCCTACCCACTCAGAATCTCCTGAGGTTCATGGTTGACATTGCTTTGGGTATGGAGTATCTCAGCAGTCGCAATTTTCTGCATCGCGATCTGGCGGCACGTAACTGCATGTGGGTTCAGGTTTTGTTATTTGTTTATGACGTTTTCTTAATAAAAAAAACTTTACCTAAGAGATTTGTTTGTTTTTTTTTTTTTTTTTCACTAACACATGCATGTTTTACAGGCTGCGAGATGATCTGACCGTCTGTGTCGCTGATTTTGGGTTATCAAAAAAGATCTACAGCGGAGATTATTACAGGCAGGGAAGGATATCTAAAATGCCCGTAAAGTGGATTGCACTGGAAAGTCTCGCAGACAGAGTGTTCACTGTGAAGAGTGATGTTGTAAGTATGATGTAGCTCTGCCCCTGTAATGGTTCCTTAAAACCATCAGGCAACAACTAAATGGAGAACTAACTAACTTTAAAAAAAAAAAGTTGTTTTGATTGTTGAAGCTTCCAGTTCCTTTAACTTAAAGCTCTATTTTCAGATGCCTTAAACATCTGAGTAAATTTGCTGCTGATATTTGTGGGATAATGTCAAAAGTTTACTTTACAACTTTCCTGGTTTTCTTTTTATTATTTTCCCACTTAATAAAAAGCCAAGCAAACATTAAGACTAAGAAACCAAAGACTTTTTATAGTATTTAAATGATAGAGATGTGATCTAAATGTTTTAAATCCGAAGAACATTTTACATTTTGAAGAAGTTTTAATTATTTCGAATAATCCAGTCAATTTTTTGCGGTTTATGCTTGCCATGTTTTTTTAATACTTGCCTGGTCCCAATAATCGAAAATAATGTTTTACTTTTGAAATTGTCCACAGTGGGCTTTTGGTGTAACCATGTGGGAAATTGCTACACGAGGCATGACGCCATACCCAGGGGTCCAGAACCATGAGATTTATGATTATCTTGTGGAGGGCCACAGACTGAAGCAGCCACCCAACTGTTTGGATGAACTGTGAGTGTTTATTCAGTCAAAATCATTTCAAATAATAAAATATATTGCCTAATTTGGCTGTTTTTCAAAAATAAAGGTGGAATATTGAGTTATATGAGATATATAACCTACTATAACATATCACTCCATAGCATAACAACCCCTTTTGAAATATAAAAGAATATGCAGGTAGGACTTGCACAAGTAACTTTATTAAAAAGTTTCCCTTCTAGTAGATACCTGGACAAAAGCTCTTAACCTAAAATTGACATATTTTAGACAGTTATTTCTGGATTTACACAGCAGGGAAATCTAGTAGGTGCAGCCACCAAAATATTTTAGTCAAAACTGAATAGCTGTAAGTATAGGAGCCATTTGTAGTTCTGTGTCCAGGGGTTGTTTGGATCTATGTTATTTAGTTACAATACATTGGTTTGGTGGCGCTAATTGGTTTGTTTGTGAATTGTTACTCTATATTTTTGCTCTACGATGGTGGCGCCGTGGGTGAACTCAAGATAAGGGTGTGGGGAGGTAAAGGTTTTTTTTTTTTTTAAAGCTCTCTGTAAAAAAAACATTATATCCATATATGGATCGATATGACCATTTCCTTTGCACGCTGCCATAGCGGGCACACAGGAATCTGGATCGCATTCAGTGTGTGTGCATAATAAATGGCAGCATCTCACAGTCTGGACATTGCCTTTTGAGCATGTTAAGACCTGGATTTCTAGCACCCAGAAGTGACCAAAAGTAAAGGCAATTTGATGGTCACAACAGCAAATTTATCTTTGCATTTAAAACTCAAAAGCTGCATCTAACTTTGTTTAACCCACTTACAATGAACAGGAACATAGAAGACTGTAGATTAGTAGAGAATGCCTCTTTATAATGAAAAAAAACAGGATGAAGCAGACTGCTCCTTGGGGCTAAACAAATGATTTTATCATTTATTTATCCATTCATACATATTTTTTCTTCAGTATAAAATGTACATTTGGGCTATTTCTTTTTTTCAAAGTAAAAATACATGACTGTTTCCTTTTAATCCCACTGCATAGGTATGAGATCATGTACAGCTGCTGGAGAGCTGATCCGGTAGACAGACCCTTGTTTCCACAACTGCGGGAAATGTTGGAAAAGCTGGCAGAAAAGCTTCCAGAGTCTTCCAGTAGAGAGGATATTATTTATATTAACACCAGCTTTCCTGAAGAGGACCCTGGGGAAGAAGTGGCTGCTGCATGCTTTGCGTTAAGCTCCACCCCATCCTGCAGCCGTCGGGTAGCGGAGAACGCTGTTGTTACTGCAGATATTCATGGATACAAGCAGCAGAGGGAGGAGGAGGTGGAGGAGGAGGATAATGAGGACAGTGAACGTTACGTAGTGGTGGTCTCTTCTAATAATACCTTAAGATCCCCCTCAGTGGAGACTCCGCTTTTATCAAGGGACACTTTGAGTCGAACAAATGAAGATCAAACGTTGGATGCGGCGGCAGTGGAACACAGCTCAGATGACGATTCATTCCTGTTAAAATGATTCCTATAACAGCAATGGACCTCTCACCAAAGTTCACCAGCATTAACAACTTGCCCACAACCATGCCCTGGATCTTGTTATTATGAGCAGTATTAGCTTCAGTATGGCCAGCTTGTGTTTTAGTGTCTGGAATATTTAATTTACCTCAACTCCAAACATGTTTAAGGATATATTTTGATAAGCTTCTCTGAACTGTGAAACTGTTGTCGGATTTGAATAAATGGGATTCAGTGTAAATATGGAGATGTACAGAGTGTTTATAAAGAAATCTTTTGTTGTAAAAATAAATTTTGTGCCATAAAGACTGAACCGCAATTATGTGACTCAATTACTGTCGTATTTATAGGAAATATAGGTAAAAATATTGATAAAAACACATTATGTGTATTTCCAAGTTCCTTTTATTTGGATCATATCCCTTAGATTTCCATGTTTGTGGAAGGCACAAACCTATGACAATTACATAATGTCTCTGACAATTACATAATGTCGAAAGATAATTAATGATAGTGAAATTATTATTTTGGTCAAATTGTTTTTTGTTTTTTTTGTGGAAGCAGCCTTTTTTGTTAAGAGTAGAGATAGAGAGTTAGAAGACATGCAGCAAGAAAAACATCAGGACCAAGGCCTCTATACACTGGTCCGTGGAATATTTTCTCAATTCATTGATATTCTGCAGAATGCAGTATTCTATGTCTACTAAATAATCATATACTTTATTTGTGTTAATATAAGAATTTCAACCAAATTAAGAGTGCATCTCTGACATTCTGAGAAAGTTGTTTTGCTTGGGATTTCCCTAAGAAATGTAATGCTTATTTATCAAACAGAAAGTTCCCTAGTTGGTTATGTGCTTAATGGTATGACTAGACTAATAGTATGACTAACTCTCAGTTTATTGATAAGTGAATATGCAGGGACACATAAGCATGCTTTGGGCACTCTGTATATTTTGTGATTGGTATAATACCTTAAAGCGGAGTTCTTCAACAGGGGGTCTGCGACCCTCCACGAAGGTATTGCATGGGGGTCGTGAAAGTTTTGGTTGATTAGACTTTTTTTTATTCCCCCCTGCAATTTTTTCCACTTATTTAAATGTCTTTAAATACACATTAACATGAATTCAACACACTGTAGTAAACAGATGAATGGAGGCAGAAGATGTCTTTCAATTACCATTGCACACATTCGGGAGCTGTTTCAAGCTGGTCACCATTTCATTCACAAAGAGGAATCAGAATCAGGAATACTTTAATAATCCCAGTGCGAAATTACTTTCGTTACATTACTCCATGTGTAATAAAGTGACTATAGAACCAGTTTGATATAACACAATTTCATACAATATATATAATTATGGGTCCACGCTCCATCTCGCCATCATTTTGGGGGTCCTTGGCCCTGAAATCATTGTAAGAGGATTGTTCTGTTCACAATTGTTCATGCCTTTTAACCCTTTAAAGCCCGATCCAAGAATAAAACAAAACAGAAAATTACTTGTTTTTGGTTTGAAGTCCTTATTTGGCCTTTTAACAAAATATGTAAAAAGAAAAAACAGAAATCATTTTTGATATTAATAATTTATTACTTTGCGATAAGTCAAGATTATTTTTTGTGTAGTCTTCTGCCCTCTGTTAACAGGTATATCTGATTGTGTACAATAGGATTTTGAGCAAAGTTTTTACCATTAAATTATGCAAAAGGTGTCAGACGCAAAACATTTCAGAAACCGTGTGTATCTGATACATTTGGAATTACAGGGTTAAAATAACATGAAAGTTTTGCTAAATGAAGTACTAAAGTATGGAAGAGGATTAGGGCCACTGAAAAAATAAAAAAAGGTTAACTGATTTTAAATTTTATTTCAGTATAACATGAGAAAAAAAAATTCTGAGGTTAAAGTCAGAATTCTGAGGTTAAAGTCAGAATTCTGAGATTAAAGTCAGAATTCCGTATTTTCTTTCTCATATTATACTGAAATACAATTTAACAATCAGTTAACTGTTCTATTTTTTCGGTGGCCCTAATCCTCTTCTGTAGTACCATATACTGTACTAAATGTAACAAAAATACTTTTTGATTTCTTTTTTCTTGTGGTGCGTTCAGGGCGCCTCCTACAGGGCAGTGCTCGTAACGTCATGAACAAACATGGCAGCTGCTGTCAGGATGAGGACGTGGAGGTTTCCAGGCTTAGGACTGTTTTATCAATGGATGCTGTTTTTCATAGCTTTACACAGTGGTATACATGAAGCAGCCGCATCACCAGAAACAGGGAAATGGACCATTGAGGTTACTGATGTAAGTATCACCTGGAAATAGTGCAGACAATTGCAGCACCTTAAGCTAACGTTAGCTACACTAGTCTTTACATTTTAACTAATGAGTTTAATGTGTGCTTTAAATAAAAAACAGTAATTTGGAGAGTCAATTTAATCATATATTAATATAAGATGGCCATTTTCTTTGCTAAACTGATAAAAGTTCAAGCAGAATGTTTTTAGCTTATTAGCAGTTAGCCTTAAGCGAAATGCTAGTAAATATTCTAAAATTAGCTGATAAAAACTAGCACCTTCCAGCTTTAAAGTTTAACTTTTTTATATATATATATATATATATATTTCGAAAATAATCTTAAGGTAATTGATTTGTCTCTGTTAACGTTTGGCTGTTTTCAGGTCTGTGTCCTTTACTTTATCTGTTAGCCTCCCTGCATCATTCAAAGCTGAGTCCTAATGTTTATAACTATGATGGTTCAGTTCTTAGAGACTTCTTAGAGAATCAGGACATCTTCATCAATAAATAATGCAGGTAGAGATCTGAGGAGATCCAGTTTCCTCTACTTTATTACTTGATCTCTAGGACAAGCTGAACCATATGGAAACCACTTTGTTTACCTTCTGAACACCTCTTTTACTTCAATGCAGTACAGACAGATCCTAAATTTTCTATTTAAAAGAGGCTCGATTTCAACCTTATTTAACCACTAACCTATTATTCATCTTCACTGCATTTTTACTGGCATTTTTTATTTAATGTTTTGCAGGATTCCAGGCCACTAATATTAAAGAAAGCTATGTTTAAAGACACAGATGTTGTCCTGAAAGGTAAGAGTTAATAGTTATTTGTTACTTGCTGACCTGAGAACAGGCATGGGCTAGTCTAAGATCATCATGGTATGCTATAGTTGAGTAAAACGTTCTTTAACATTTATTTATGATGTTATAAATAATAAAGAAGCTCGCAAAATGTTATTGTCATGGCTTTATTGTTCCGAAATATCTTAGGCTTATATTATTTTTAGTCTTCTAGCATGAAGTAGAGCAATCTCATATTTGCTAGATACTATGCAGTCTGGTTGTGGGAAGGACAGGGGGAAATGCCTCTTTAGACATAAACTTTATCTTTTAAAAATAACTTAACCCTACTTCCAACATTGCTTAGTTTGGTTGTGAGGTTTTAGGGGATGAAATCCTTTCCTCTGCCTGTATCCCTGAGAAGGACATGTGGTTCTGGATTGGAGTTTAATGAAATTATGTAAAAATAGTTTTGGACATATTTTCTATTAGTATTTATAAATGACAATAGTTTATAGACCTTGTTTGCAGGGATACCTGCTTAGTCTCCACAGCGTGATGATTTAAAGCTGTCCAAACAGCTGAAGTGTAAAGGGAAAGTGTATTAGCCTTTATATATAAAACCAAGCCTAATCTTAACCTAGACTTTTGCTGTGTTCTGTGCTTTTACTTTTATTTTATTAAAAAAATATCTTCATCTCTCAGTTGTGTCTTGTAGTTGTTCCAAGGAGGTGAAAATAACAATCCACTGGCTTTTGAAATATTACTCCTGTTACAATGAATATAATAATATTGAGGTAAGTAAAATAAGTTCTTGTCTGGTTCACCTGTGCAGTTTTTCTTGCGAACATTACAACTTAATGCTTAGTTCTGATTTTGATGTCCTGTAGGAGATGTATGAAAGGGCGCCACTAAGCCACGGGGATAACCTGGACCCTAAACCTAACGCGCCGGGCGAGTACATAGAACACATACACAGTCCGGTACCATGCAAAAAGGACCCACTCTCCTTAACTGGGCTCAACGTAGGTTTGCTGTTTGTTCTTCAGCGCATTTATTTACATGTTTAATAACAAAATTTTTCATGATCCAGTGTCTGTTTTTTTTTTTTTTTTTCCAGAAAGCCATGGCTAAACCACGTCCTGCAGAGAGTAAGGTACTAGTTACACTAAGTATTTTTTTTCTTAATAAAAGCACAGAAAAACTAAAGCTTTAAATTCAGTCCTCCTACAAGGTCTGGTATTTCATTTCAGTCTCGTTTTTTAAGTCTGAATCTGTATTAAAAGTCTGTGTCCGTGACCATTATGCTAATTAATATTCAGCTATTCAGGGGGGCTGTTATTTATATTTTCTTTGATGTTAAAACTGGTAACTTTGCTTGTCAAACTATGCAGAAAAACAGCGACCCAGAATGGATTTCAGCCGAGTACAACATGAACAGCACCAAAGCGAACGTTATAGCTACTACATGGAGGGACGGGCCTTACCTGCTGGTTGTTAAGGTTAACTCCAGTATAAAGGAGGCCAAATGGAATTTAACAGGTGGGATATTTAATAAAAAAATGACTTAGAAATCAGCTGCTGTAGAGAAATGTTATGTTTTGATTTTTACAGAGTTTATCTGATGCTTAGACTTGTGTTTTTGTTTTGTTTTTTAGTCAATGTGGTGATGAAAGGCAGCCATGGCTTCATTTCTATCACAGAGTGGCCGCTCATGATCGTAAGTAGAGACTTTATGGATCTGTTCTAATTTTATTAATTTTTTTGATACGTGTATCATATGTAGTGCAGCAGCTATTGATTATTTTAGTCATGAATTAATCTAGCATTTGTTTTTTTAAGTTTACTTCAAAAAAGAATCCTTTCCTAACTGAACCTCTAAAAAAGTAGTACTATGGGGTCCTGAAATGTCAAAAGAAGTTGTGGATGGAGCATATTTACTGACCAAGGAGGATCTTTATCTCAAGGCAAAATGTAAATATCTATTGTAGAAGTTTGGCTTCATTGCTCCTCTGAGTGGGTTCCTTCACCAAACCTGTTTTAGAGCCTTTAGACTACAAACGATTATTTGATTGTTAAATCGGTTGATTGTTATTTCATTAAAAAATTTATAAGATTTATTATTAACTATAACAGTCATGTAACTAAAAATTTTCATTCTGTCTTTAATAAATAATGCTTGAATTTCTCAAATAAAAACTAGATCTATATAAGTTTGCTATATAAAACA